TTTTGGGTTCAGGGTTTTTGGGTTTTGGGTTTTGGGGTTTAGGGGTTTAGGGTTTAGGGTTTAAGGGTTGGGGTTTAGGGTTTAAGGTTTTGGGGTTTAGGGTTTAGGGTTTAGGGTAGTTCTCGAAGTTAGGGTCCCTGTTTAAGTCCCCAAATTAGTACGGCACTCTTATAAACAGGACCCTAACCGGGACTCTACTAATTTAGAGAACTACCCAGGCAGGGGCCTAAAGAATTACCAATACTATTTTGGGGGCTCCGTATTAAGTTAAACTTGATAGTGTAAAGGGCCCCAAAACCCTGTTCTGTAATTATGAAGGCCCCTATATTACCCTAAACCTCAAAGCTTAAATCCCATATACCCTGAACCCTAAATCCTGAATAACCTTCTTCAACCCCAAATCTTACACCCTAAACCCTGAACCTTTGACTTGAAACCCCAAAGCCACTTTCAGGTTTCGTGTGGTTGGGATTTGTGTGTAATATATGAGCCTGAAAAATTACCAGCATACTTTTTTGGGGGGTTCCTTAGTATAACTATAGTATAAAGGGCCACAAAGCCCCATGCTAATTATTAACCCTAAACCCTAAACCCTAAACCGCCTATATCAATCATCCTGACGGCTGGAGCTTGTTGCGGCTCTTGGTTTGTGGGATGAGTTTAGGGGTTTAGGGGTTTAGGGGTTTAGGGGTTCAGGGTTCAGGGTTTAGGGTTTAGGGCCTATTTTAGGGTGCGTGTGTGTGTGTGTGTTACTAGGTTCCCGAGTAGTACCCTTTTTCTTTTTGGGCTCTTCTTTAAGGCCGAATAGTGGGAAAAGGGTACCCTTATTATCGAGGGGTTACTTGGGAACCTGGGTTGTAGTTAACAGTGGAAAGACTCGAAGACGAACAAGGTGGTAAACTCTGCTGCTGGGGGTGATGGGAGGACTTCTTACTCGGTCCACTACATTGCATGTTCTTCCCAATCTGCGCGCCGAATTCGTTTAAGAGCCAGGGCATAGGAACCAAATGGTTGAGCTTTTCCATGGGTTCAAAGCATGTGGCTTTGAGTTTCTGGCTCACCTTTGGAGTTCCAGCAGCTTATCCATTCAGACTTCCTGCGACCTTCCCACTCGGCAGGTGCGCACTTGCGATGCAAGCCCGCCGGAAGAGACCAGCGCAGAATCCGTTGCCGAATCTGGGCCACAGGCAGCTGGAACAGATGTGCGTGCGCGCGTGCGCAAGTGGGTGCGAGTTTGGGGGTGCCATATACGACTATGCAAAGACTAAAGACATCAAAGCCAGCTTTCAGACTTGTACCACACTTACATAAGTGCGTAGATCCGACACGACTGGCCATCGGCAGATACTATATACATGTAAGTACGCACGCACGTAGTATACGTGTCAATGTGTATGCAATGCAAGCATGAAAGCAGGCATGCAGGGATGGACATACGTATGCATGCAAGTACGCATGCATGTATGCATGTACTTTCGTAAGCATGTCTGGTTGTACGTGTTCTTTGTACCATGTACATATGTTTGTATTGGTGCAAGCATGCATGTATGCATGTATGTTTGTTCGCAAATATGAGGATGCCTTTTTGCATGTATGCATACAGCTTTGCTTAGTTTGTTTGTTTGGTTGTTTGGATGTCTAATTGCTTATATGTGTGTATGTCGTGTTTTGTGTAAGTATGCATGTTGGTTTGTTTTGTTGGTTGGGTTCTTGTATGCATGTATGTACGTGTATGTACGTGTATGTATGTATGTATGTATGTATGTATGTATGTATGTATGTATGTGTGTATGTATGTACGTATGTATGTATGTATGTATGTATGTATGTTTGTATGTATGTATGTAATGTCTG